TATATAAAAAGATATATATATATATATATATATATATATATATCAAATGTAAATATTTATAACATAAAAATAAATCCATGGTTTAAATTTAATATATATTGTTTGGTCTCTGATTTTTTTTTATAGAATTTTTAATGAGGTCTTTAAATAAAAAAAAAATTTGGATCCTTCATTATTCTATATATTTGTAATTTAGTCTATGAGATTAGAGACTTGTTTATAATCCATTAAATTTTACATCATATTTTTTATATCCCCATACTCAAACAATAATATTAGATTACGATTCAATATCATCATCCACGTGTAATATTTTAATCGTTATCCATTAAAATTCTCTACTATTGTAGAAATTGTGACACCCTAACTACCCCAACACATATATAAATAAATCTTGTAAATAAACTAAAGAATAAAATATTCAACGTTGGTAAAAAGGGTTCACATAAAACCTTCATAAATAACCAAAATAATTAAAAATGAAATTTATAAAGTAAAACTTGAGAGTTTACAAATTATTTTTAAAAATAATAAATACAACTCTAAATCCATATAAAAATTCCATATCCTAGAATTTTCTGCCCCGATGTCACAATATCAGAGCACACCCACAACTCAACAATTGACATTCTAGATGTCACTCAAAGTCGGACTCACCTAAAACATCCACAAATTGTACGGTGAGAAAAGAAAATATTTATATATAAAGCACACAAGGAAAAACACAACATAATCTCATCAATTATTGAAGTCTTTACAAACATATCCATACATTCTAATTCTATCAATCATGCATCATATTCACATCACAATTTCAAAATCACACCAATCTATCACAAGTCTTGCAATTAACATTATGTCAATGGTCACGCCACCTCAAGGTCGTGCCACTCTAGACATAAGTGATACGTATTAATTGCCTCACTCATCCCACACCATGCCAGGGGCACACTCGTCCTTGTAGCATCACTTACTCAAGGTTCGTCTCATCCCTGATCATATGTGTGAGGAACCACAATAACATCACAATCACAATCATCACAAATTTTACTATGTCAAGGTCACGCTACCCTTCAGCCTAGGGTCGTGCTCACCCCTGACATCACACTATGTCAAGGTCACGCTACCCTTTTAGTAGCCTAGGGCCGTGCTCACCCCTGACATAACACTATGCCAAGGTCACGCTACCCTTTTAACAGTCTAGGGTCGTGCTCACCCCTGGTCATCAGTATGAGGATCCAAAACCACATCTCATTCACATTCCACACATCTCATTTCACAACTCAAATTCATATCACATACACAATTCCATATCACATACACAACAGATAAGTCCAACAAAATAAGGGTTTACACACCCCTCAAGCAATTCACATCTAGATCATCAATTCTTAACAAATAATATAACAATACATTCAGAAATTAATATAATAATCAATATAATTACCAATTTAATATAATCTTAACATAAATAGTAAAACCCGCAATTGTTCCAAATCCTAACTCACATGCACTTTTCTACAATTTTGTTCTCTCTCCCATATCATCATTCTTACAAAATAAATATATATTTCTAATCCTCAACACATACAGAATCTAATGGGATCATCAATTCCTCAAACAGAAATAATCCAATTTTCCACAACCTAACTTACAAGCACTTTTCTATAATTTCGTTCTCTCTCCCAGAGCATCATGTTTACAAATTAATCATATATTCATAGTCCTAAATACATATAGAATCACATAAGATCAATAATTCTTCAAACAGAAATAATTATAAAATTACTCATAATCCTAAGGGTTCTTTCTCTACCCAATTCTATCATGTAACTCTACATATAAATAATCCTCTTTTTCCCCGTACCTGGATAAACAACAGTTGAAACTAAAACAGAGATCTCTTGGTCTCCTCCTCTAAGTGCCCCTCGATTTTCAGAGAGTGTAGAAGGGAAATAAGAGAATGTAGAAGAAATAAATAAGAACTAAAAGAAGTCAGAACTGAAATATATGATTTTAGGAGTGCCAGAGCACTCAATTTATAGGCATCAGGATTCGCGAAACGACCCGTTTCAAATCCGGAATGGCCCGTTCTGAAATCTCACGTCATGTATAAAATTCACATCCATAACGGCCCGTTCTGAAACCAGAACGACCCGTTCTCAATAAGGTTCGACAACCTTTTATTCATACTACAGAGACTTGGGTGCGCTAGCCTATAAAAAAAATTTAACACTACCTAAACCGTAAACGGTTAACATGCCAGCACCAACACTCAAGAGAAATACCAACATTTCAATCTCTCATCAAGGATACCAAAACCCCAATTCTCAGATACAACCTCCTTGGATTCAATCGCTACAACTATAGATTCCAGAAATTTCATTAACCGTAAACTCTCGACAAATCAATGTCTCACCCAAATCTAAGGTCCCAATAATTTCTAGTTGATTAGCAAGGCTTCGTCGTCCACTACTACTGACACATATGCTCGGAATACGAGCGATACCACTCAACCGCTACTTCTTACGTAAGTAAGAAGTATCAAAACAAATAAGCAATCATGAATAGCATCAACTAAGCTATATCATGTCTTTCAGCCAAATTCTGAGAAAACAATACACAAGTAAGCACAACACTAACAACATAAAGGAAACATCATCATTATCCTCATCATAATGCAAAACATTGTTAGAGTACACACAATTAAATAACAACAAACAAAATCAATCATCATACTAGCATATCAATAAATTCCACAATCAATTCATTCTATCGTTCATCTACCAAACAAGCATAGTAGACTCATAACTCACGGCCGATTGGATCGACCTGCTCTGATACCACTAAATGTGACACCCTAACTACCCCAACACATATATAAATAAATCTTGTAAATAAACTAAAGAATAAAATATTCAACGTTGGTAAAAAGGGTTCACATAAAACCTTCATAAATAACCAAAATAATTAAAAATGAAATTTATAAAGTAAAACTTGAGAGTTTACAAATTATTTTTAAAAATAATAAATACAACTCTAAATCCATATAAAAATTCCATATCCTAGAATTTTCTGCCCCGATGTCACAATATCAGAGCACACCCACAACTCAACAATTGACATTCTAGATGTCACTCAAAGTCGGACTCACCTAAAACATCCACAAATTGTACGGTGAGAAAAGAAAATATTTATATATAAAGCACACAAGGAAAAACACAACATAAGCTCATAAATTATTGAAGTCTTGACAAACATATCCATACATTCTAATTCTATCAATCATGCATCATATTCACATCACAATTTCAAAATCACACCAATCTATCACAAGTCTTGCAATTAACATTATGTCAATGGTCACGCCACCTCAAGGTCGTGCCACTCTAGACATAAGTGATACGTATTAATTGCCTCACTCATCCCACACCATGCCAGGGGCACACTCGTCCTTGTAGCATCACTTACTCAAGGTTCGTCTCATCCCTGATCATATGTGTGAGGAACCACAATAACATCACAATCACAATCATCACAAATTTTACTATGTCAAGGTCACGCTACCCTTCAGCCTAGGGTCGTGCTCACCCCTGACATCACACTATGTCAAGGTCACGCTACCCTTTTAGTAGCCTAGGGCCGTGCTCACCCCTGACATAACACTATGCCAAGGTCACGCTACCCTTTTAACAGTCTAGGGTCGTGCTCACCCCTGGTCATCAGTATGAGGATCCAAAACCACATCTCATTCACATTCCACACATCTCATTTCACAACTCAAATTCATATCACATACACAATTCCATATCACATACACAACAGATAAGTCCAACAAAATAAGGGTTTACACACCCCTCAAGCAATTCACATCTAGATCATCAATTCTTAACAAATAATATAACAATACATTCAGAAATTAATATAATAATCAATATAATTACCAATTTAATATAATCTTAACATAAATAGTAAAACCCGCAATTGTTCCAAATCCTAACTCACATGCACTTTTCTACAATTTTGTTCTCTCTCCCAT